ACAAAAAAGGAACACTAAACACAAATCAAGAAATTTGAAAAGCCGGAACTTTTCATCATATCTCATGTCGCACTTTAAACAAAAACAAAGCTTCCGGCTATGCTACAAATATTGACAGAATCTACATGCAGTCAAATTTAGTAAATTGGAAATTCCTATCGTTTTCAATGACATTTAATTTATATGAATTTATATGTTTTCGTCTTCACACTGGTATAATAAAATTAAGATAAATGCAATGCTAAAATACGGTGACACCATCAAGCCTTTAGCCCTTTAAGTTTGAAAATAGGAAGAACAATATACATACTTCCTTATCATTTGTTGAAAATATTAATTTAAATAAATATTCATCAATAAAAGTCTTGCGTTATTAAATATTTCTACAAAAGTAATGATGAAGCACTGAAATTGATAAAGTGCGCTCTAATTAACAAAAGCAAATAGATTTTTTTCTTCATATTAAACCAGTTGAGAACAACGATTCATTATTTTGATTTAATAGATTAATTCATTTATCTATTGATAGTGTTAACATTTAAACCATTTACTTAAATATAGTCTTGATAAGATTATATTCAAAATGATTATGAAAATCAAGATAAATAAATACCTGTAATTTTAATTTAGTCAATTAAAAAGTAACTTTGAAACAGAAACATGAAAAATCCTCTTCACCTATATTGCATAGTAACACGTACGAGCACTCATTCGCAACTTACTCTCTTTTTGCATTCATACGTTTATCTCCCTTAGTAAATGTTGAATTTGTAGTATGTCGTTCAATTCAATTTCGTGTTTGTGTAAAAAAAATTTAAACTAAATTATCAGAGAAAATGATAATATTTAACCACTTCATTGCATTTTTATATACATTATGCCCCAGAAATAATTTTATGTTTCAAAACCTTTTTATTTCTGATGTCCTTTTGTAGTTTAAAGAATGTTTCCCATTTGCCATTTATCTGAACCATCATTTGCTTCTGTTGCTCTTAAGTGATTAAGTATTTTGAATGGAAGCTTAGATACTACTTTGTTTACATTTTGCTACTTTAATGACACATCAAGTCACACTCAGCTCTACTTTTTCCTTGTAATAAGCTTTTTAACATGCTCTAAAACCATTATTTAAACATTATAAAACTCAAATTTACCCTCTCTAAAAAAGGAAAATCAATATATTCATTTCTGAGACATAATGTGTCTTGAAAGCTGTTGTGGTCCGCTGATCATGAAATCATGAAAAATACTTATATCATATCTGATACACAAAAAGTAGTTTTATACAATATTTTATTTGTTTTAAATGCTCTCGAATGATCACATATTTTAAGAATTTTTCATAATTTCGAGTTGTAAACAATTCAAAATGCATCTATCTTCCTGAATACAATCTATGTAACACTGGTCATACCTTATTGTAGGTACATAACACGTGGTGGTACGGGCCTTATATCATTTATATATCATATATATACATTCATGTTTGCTAAAGTTTGTCTTTTGGATGGTGAAAAAGTAAAGTTTTTAACACTAACATTATTACAATATATCACAATATAAATCAGCTATTGTTAACAATTTTGCATGAATGTACGATTATGAGAGAAATATCAAAGAAAAAGCTCTTCTATGAATGAATAACTGATCAGTTTTGCTAAACATAGACGGAATGATAACAACTTTCTAGGATGCGTTAATGTCGTAGCTCAAACTTTATTATTATTATCATTATTATTATTATTATTATCATTATCATTATTATTATTATTACTATTATTATCATTATTATTATTATTATTATTGTTGTTATTATATTATTATCATTATTATTATTATTATTATTTTTATTATTATTATTATCATTATTATTATTATTATTATTATTATTATTATTATTATTATTATTATTATTATTATAGCTTGATCGAAATTAAAGTAAAAGTCTACTTTCTAGTATGAAGATCTGTAATTTTTGTTCCAAACAAACTTTCGTTTTTATAATAGGCCGTAATCAAATTTTACTATCTCTTTAGCATCCAAAATTTACAAATATTATTTACTGCCATTTTTTATCAAATTACAAATTTCTAACGGTATTGCGTGATGTCTTTTAATTTATTGATATATCAAATTATTCTTCGCGCTTTGAAATCATTACCGAGAGTAAATAATTTGAAACAGGTTTATAACAAATCCATATCAAAAGCAAAAAAAGATACAAATTTAATTTGCAGGCTAAACAGTCTGACAATACGCGACAATACTTTATATGTCAGTTTGTTTAAATACATTATAATAACGAAATCGCCCAATGGATATAAGCATTAGTTAAGACTTTTTCTAAATGTTTCCATAACTTGAAACATAATAAATGTAATAAATTATTTTTCTCAACATTTAAAGCTGCGTGTTTTTCAATCAAAATTTGTGGTAATAACTAATACCGGATGACAAATGTCTGTAAACAATTGTGCCAAGTAATTGTATAATATCAAAACACAATAGATTGTTTTTACATTTTTTATCTTTTATTATGTTTAACATTGACTAAACATAATTGAGTACATCTCAAACTTTTGCAATAACCCTCATGTACCGAATCAATCAAACCGAGTCTGCAATATTTATTATATTTCATTGTAATTTATGCTTCTGAAGATCACTTCTTTTCAAACAGTGTTTAAGCGAACGCTTAAGGACGTCAGAGAAATTGCTTTTTTCATTGACTCACACTCGACACTTGACTCGACTCAATAAAACCATGTCCGTTATTTTCAACAACTTGATTTTGTTTTTATCCGGCTTCGAGTCATATCACCTTTACATAACTTATCAAATATCATTCAACTAAAATTTGATGTTGATCTAGACCAGTGAACAAACATTCTGTGATACGCTACTTGACCAATCATGGCAACTTTGTAAACATTCAACGCTGATGGACTACAAATAAATTATTTTGTCTTAATCTTTCGGAGCAATTCTATACAACCACTGTTTTATTGACACTTAATGCCATACGGGGTCTTAAATAACTCAAAAGGATACAAAATCACGAGATTCTATCATCAAAGACAAATAAATTCAATTATTTTATCAGACTTCCTGGCGATTTGTAGTTTTAACCTAAATTGGCATTAAAACCCTTTCTCTCTTGTTAACCAAATTGCTTGTCAATTATGTTTTAACCTATGTCATTATTCTACCTCCTTTCATCTCGATTTATTTCTGCAGACAAGCGTAATATGAATATTTTGTTCTTTATTGAAAATGTATCATAATGTATATTGATTCAACAAATGAAAATATTCATTGTACTTTATTTGACTTATATTGAAATAATATCAAAATAAGGCAAATAATATACAAAGTCAAAGAGACATAATGGCAGCAGGAAAATGCATGATACATGTACTGCTTTTTGATTGCAATATAAAAACCCTGGCATTGGTTATATGGCGATTTATTCAGCCGGAGGCTGTCTTTTTTCAGTTTGTCTTCCTGTAATACGTACACAGGCATTTACTGAAGTAGGATTTTCATTGGCCATTTAAAGCCCCTCACAAACGACGTAAGACTGCCAAGACGCCTTATTTAACGTGTGCAATCGTTTCAGATAGGACCCATATATCTCAAGGCCAAGACCTGACCTAAATGAAAAAGGAAATACCCACATGACGTTATCGGTAAAACATACAAATGACCTATGCTACAATTTAAGTGGTATTTCATCTCAAAATAAATTTTCCCGGCAAAAGTTCACAGACCATAGTTTTAGGTTTATTATTGTGAAAGTGGCTAGTGGCTTTTAAATTTAGAGGGGTTTTCCGTGAGATTTGACTAAACAAAAATAATAATTGAATACATTGAAGAAGAGACAGTCGGCAGCGACATGTCGAAAAATTATATTGTTGCAATAACAATTAATACGAAATCTAAAGAACATAAATCATATTTTTGGAGAGACGATAAAATTAATAAAAAATTGTTAGGCGCATGCTCTTCTTTTAAATGCGACTTAACTTAAACAAGCAAATTATCATCGAAGTGAACAAATCGGTACAAGGATAGATCGGAAAATATAATTTACGTTACTTAACACAACGAGCAATCGTTCGTTCCATTTTTCATTTCGTAGAAATGGATTATTGTTTTTTACTATTTCATGTTCCGAAAAAAAATAATAGTGAAAATTATAGCTACAATATCACCATTCAGTAGTATATGACCGAGTGAACCGTGTACCGAAATTTTGCTACTCCTTTAACTTTTGAATCGGTATGACTAAGATTCGCAACGGAGACTTTTTGGCGCAATGCCACAAATTTTTCTCAAGTTCGATTTTCTTGAAATATTGTGGTTGGTTGGAGGCATTTAATATGATTGGATTTACTATTATGTTAATAACATGTTAAAAACTACAGCACATGCTCAGATTATAATCTTTTGTTAAGGTTACTTATAGGTCCTATGGGCCGGATGTTCATCTTCATGTATATACGTTTAACACATGTCACTATAATAAAGAATTTTCTTACTTACTTACTTACTTACTTACTTACTTACTTACTAACTAACTTACTAACTTACTTACTTACTTACTTGCTTTCTTTCCTTCTTTCTTCCTTCCTTCCTCCCTTCCCTTTCCTTCCCTTACCTTACGTTACCTTACTTTACCTTACCTTACCTTACCTTACTTTACTTTACATTACTTCCTTACTTCCTTTCTTACTTACTCACTCACTCACTCACCCACTCACACACTCACTCACCAACTCACACACTCACTCACTCAGATAACATACTTTATGCCCGTTTTGGAAAATCTCTGCTGCAGAGGAAATGTTTCCATATATACTTACCAAAACGTTTATCGAAAATTTAATTATTGAATTTTTACAAGAAACGTTTTTCATACTATTTCAATATATATCATTTATTTTAAATTTAGTTTCAAAACAAAACATAACATAAATTGTTCCCTTTGTAGAAAAAATATCCCTGATGCGCCAAGAAAATGTCCATTTTATCAGGCATATAATAAATTGTAAAACAAACGTTCATTATGATTCTATATTCAATATATATAATAACTTATATTTTATTAGATAATTGTTATTTATAAACATTCATTGTGCCATTTATGCAAAAAAATGTCTCCAAATACTTTTGAATTAAACAAATCTTCTACAGCTGCAAAAAGACATCTCGCATGCTTCTTTTTGAAGAAGCAAACTTGTACTATTGTTAGTCGGTCGGTTTAGCTAGATAGGAAGCGCATCGGAACCAGAAGTCATGTCTCGCTGGTTTGATGTTTGGAAAAGGCAAAAATTATCCTTAAACATTGATCTCGTCTCTCACCACTAAAAAGCTTCCTCAGATGAAAGAATCCAAAATCCCTGGCAGGATTCGAACACACAGCGGTTAGAGGCAAGTTGTTTGCGAACGCCCTTAACAATTTTAGCCACAGACGTCTCCTACTTTATCAGACATTTTTTCATATTGGCAAAAGGTATAAATGTGGTTACCCGTGCATAAAAATGTGCTTACTTTTTCATTTAATGCTTAATTTGGAGGAATTTTAGTGTGTGTTTTTGTTGTTGTTTTTAATAAATCAAAGCTTTATTTTGCCGAAAGATATATTCTTATTATATTTGTATTTTCCAAACAATGCCTTCGCATGGAAATAAAACTCATTCGTGTAATAAGATAGAGAGCATATTTAAATAATCATTTAAGGAACGGTTAAAATATATATGATAATGGTGTAGGTGTTGGTAGTTTACTCTCCGGCTCACGTCAATTAGTCGCATTGAATTTACCAAAACACAGGCTAACCACCACATTCTTCCCGGGCAAACTGTCAAGCAATATACTTTCCCAGGAAACTCATAACTTCTGTACATACAAGGACAGACGTACAGTGCTAATGGCCGTAGAAAGAATTTCATGATCAATCACAATAAAAATGGCCTCCACCGTCCGGTAATCGAAACCGAGTCGCCCGATTCACAGTCAAACGCACTACAGTTACAGAAGGTTATATACTTCATTAGTTGCTTATATCTTTATCTAAAAGGTAATAAAAATTTATGTTGGATAATATATTTAAAAATGTTACTTTTTACACGTAATATTTAATTACTAAAGTAAAGAAGATTACTGTTTTCACGTAATGTTTAATGAATAAGTTATAAAATTGCTGATGACATTTTATCCTCCGAACCAAAATTGGAATGAATACTAACATCAGTTTCGCTTTGAAAAATAACTTATTTATACTGGAACACCTGCCATACATGCTCTTCTCAACTCACTCTTTGTTAAACCTTACATTAATATTTAAGAAGGTTTTGAATATTCATTTATCTTGATTTTTCCTATATCCGTATGTCGAATATACCAAGATTTTAGGGGTTGTTTCCATAAACTAAACTGTAATACATGCGGTCATTTAACAGCGATCATTTAACAGTGAGCATATTAGTCTACAGATATGGACTTTTGCAGCGTTATTTCTGCCTCTTTCTTTCAAAGATGACAAATAGAACTTCAAAGCAGCATCCATTTTGTTTTCTTGTTCCATACACTGCCCTAGAAGGTTAAGCACTGTTTCACGATGTCCAAAATTAGTTTTTTTTGTCAATGCATCTGGCAAGGTTAGATAGGGCCCTCTCTTTATCTTCATTTCTGCTTATTTGAGAATATATCTTGTACTGGAGAAAGTAGAGATAAGGAAGAGAATCCACAATAGCAAAGTTCATCCAAAAGATGTCAGTCCAATCTCTATCTCGCAGATTGTGCTGTGTTGATCTGAACATTTCATGTTGGAGCTCGTATGGACAACAGTTTATTTCAAGTCGTGTAAACGTGACACATGTTGCCGCTTTATCAATGTGTATTCGTCATCTTCGTCGTAACATAACTTACCAAATGTTTCCCCTACTGGAAAATGTCTAAAAGCGTGGCAATGACATACTGTTTCAACAACGCTTAGATCATAACATTCCTCAATATTTTTCAAGATCAGGTCAGTTCTTTCAAGATCTCCATTACAATAGAAAACAGATGCTAGTTTCAGTTTACCAGATGCTACATCCGAGTCAAGTCCCAATGACATCAATGTGAAAGCCTTTCGTGTCACACTGCTTTGCCTATATAAGCTAGTTGAAGCTAAAACGGATCCTAAAGTGACGCAAAAGAGTTTTACAAGTGATGAACATACTGTTTTCCCTTTCTCTTGAGACCAGTTGTACCATTGAAGAAGCTTTAGCAAATATTGTGATAACGTGTGTACGTCCCCAAAATAGGTTGTTGTTAGGAGCCAAAACATGTTAATGTCAGATATAAACATAACTGTATTTCTAAGTATACAACCTGATATTTGAGCGGCTAGATGTTCAGAACATTTTTCAACACCTTCGAGAAATGAATTTTGAATTCGGATTCCTAATTGATCGGATTTAATCTCTAGTAGGGCGTGTCCATTACTTTTAACAACGTAAGAAATGGTTTCAAGAAGAAAACGCTTCGTGTCTTGTGGGAAGCGCCCATACATCAGATTGTTCTCTGGTATCATATAATGGGGGCAATACTCATTTAAAACACAGTGGTAAAGTGTTGATAAACAAAAAGTTAGACAAGGTAGCAAGCTATTTTCCTTCCAAAAATTGGTTCTTGTATTTGAAACACAGTGAAGCAGGACGGTCTTACACATAAAACTTGTAATGCTATCTGGACAGTGTGTAGAAATAAACGTTTTTATAATCATTTTCATCAAGATATAGCATCTTATTTGTGTAATGTTCAAATTGAACATGCAACATCTCTCCGCTAGGGAAGTTGATATTCTCCATTCAAGTTCTTCATTGGCACTGTTTTTATTTCCGACTGGTACAACAAAACATCCTGTTACTCTGCAGTATTCTTTCATATCAGCCGTAGGCCACTGTCCTTTGTTTGGGCGATCTAACCATTGCCTAGCTTGTATAGGCCAGGTCAGACATGGAAGTGCATGAACAATGTCATTATCCAGGGCATACCTTCCTTGAAGTGTTTGTGCTGGACCATGTCGTACAAGTGGAAGATTTAAAGTATTAAGATCTTCCATTATGCATGTATTCTTCAATAAGGTTCTACCTGTTTTATCTGTATACGTGTATTTATTCTCCACATAATGTGTAAGTGGAACATCAAATCTCAGCATTTGTAAATAACAATATCCTGGTGATACAGTATCATTTTGTATCATTAACAGGTTACATATTCCTTGTTTCCATTCGCTCCAGTCTTGAATGGTATGATAATTGCAAATTGTCCAGATGTAATCAGCGTCAGAATTAAGTCCCCTAGTTGTTGTACCTTCTATTTGACTTCCAACGAAGTACATGTTTATGTACCTTTGTTGTAGCTGTTGTGTTAGTGTGCCTAAAGATTCATGCAATAGCACCGATCGTCTTTGTTTCATCACAATTCTTTCGTTCACACCAATTTCGTTCATCACTTGAGACAATCGTAACGACACATCGGAAGTGTAATCAGCTATATTCGACATTCTGAAATGCAATGTAAAACACAACGAATAATAGTCATTCCTGCTGAAAGCGAAATTAAATTTAAAAAAATCTGCAATAAAATGGTATGAACCAGTATTTAAAGTACAGTTTGTATTCATTCCTTCAATACATTTTGTATAAGTCAGTTGAATATTATGAACTTAAAAACTTTTTTACCTTTAACAAAGTTGCAAGGAAGTTTTTTTAAATTGTTATGCGGTTTGAACCTACAGAGGCAAGTGGTTTGAAGTCCACGACCTTAAACACTTGAACATTTTTAATTCGTAAAGTATCTATAACACTAGTAAATTCATTAACACTATACGGAGGACAAGATTAGAATGAAGTAAAGGTCAAAACAATAAATATCACCATTACAATCAGCACATAAGTGAAAAGGGCAATAATTATTTGAAAAAGGTTTTGTACCTGAAGATTGTTCCTAAATAGATTTGTTTTTTTTTTTAAATATCAAGCTAATCGTATGTAAAATGTAGCGGTCGAAGCTTTTTATTTACAAGCGTTATAATACTTCCACTGTATCGTCAACTTACGAATGTGATACTGGTAATTTCAACACAAATAAAGAAATTTAAAAAGTTCGATCCTTCGTCAAATATTACATCTATTGCACTCCAAACAAAAACATTCCGGCTACCCAATTTTGAAGCTTCACGCCTTCAGATGAGCAAAAATGTTTCAATAAAATCAAACCTGAGAAAAAAAGATTTTAGGAAAGGTATAAAGATTCAAAATTCTAGTAATACTTTACATGCTATTAGCGATTAATGACCAATTTTTCAGTATTGATAACTATATTTCTACTGCGTTACTAATGCAGGTATATTTTTGCATATTTTGACCTCTTTAAATAGCTAAAATTAACATGGTTGTTATTTTTTGAAATTTGCCATTGATTATGTTTTAAATTGCATTCTTTTGGTTAATTTTACAAATTATAACTGCTATAATACCTTTTTAAATTTTTCATAGAAAGTTAGCAATGAATCTGGAGGCGTGCTGCTTGAATATCACCATCTACATTGCTGTCAAATTAAAAACTTTTGGAATAGAAGTAAAATATTTGGATTTACTCATTTTCCTTAAACTTTATCTTTAAGTTAAACTCATATTGATACTATAATAAATATGCATGCAATGTAAAAGTTATCCACTTTAATGCCTTTAATGTGTGAAAATCAAAGTTTACATGCACTTACTAACAATACTCAACTATATTTATAAACTAATATTCCTCTTCTCAACTCTCATGCTATTACATATTTGTATATTCTATCAAAAATGTAATTCTGAAGCATCAAAATTTACAAATAACTGGCACTTTAATTTGCTCAAGTTTTATATTTTTGTCATATTAGACCAAATGGGAATTAGGATTTTATTTATCATATCAATTCAGGTTATATAAATTGTTGCTAGTGTTCAATTAAAGTGTTGATAATATAATTAAAATGGTCATAAAGATAAGAAAAATAAATACCTGTTACTAGTTATAACGTCCTTAAAAAAAGGGTGTTTTGTAAGAGAAACTCGGAAAATCCTCTTCGCCAAATGCTCAGTGACACGTACGGGCACTCTCGTAACTTAATCTATTTTCTGTCAGATACTGTATCGTCTTATTTCAAAATTTTATCAATTACTTGTATCAGTTAAAGCTTGCATGTTAGTTCGTTTATAGCTTCTTTATCAAAAAAAATTGATAAAACAATCACTTCATAACGGTATATTTTGGATAAATATTTGTAGGGAAAATACCTAAATTTCCATCAAGATAATATTAACTTGTTCGACGAGTGCAGAAATAATGCGTAAACTTTCGGGGCCATCTATCATGAAAATTGGAAAATACTAATCATATAAAATACAACTCATCATATCTGATAAACAGCAAATAGTTTAATTCAGTTTTTATTATATCCATTGCTTTTGAATGATCCCACCTTTTAATTATTTTAACACAACACGTGAATACTAATAGAAGTAAGGGTTAAAGTAAAGACTAGTTCTTCTTAGGAAGGCAGTTTCTGAATACTTTTAAGTAAATCACTATCTTCCAAAATTACTTTCCTCCAGCTGACTTCTAAAACCATACAGCGTTGAAATTTTAATGCAATAAGTGATTTTGAGGAGACTTAACTTCTGTTACTGTACAGATAAATTTTCCTACGACATCAGCACATCAAACATGCATATGGAAGTACAAACACTTTCATATTGCTACATTTCTCCATTCATAGAAATACAGTTTTCTATCTGTCGTATAAAACTGTTGTAAAAGTTTGATTGTACAGGATATTAATGAACACTCACCACTTAACGATCGAAGCTAATTTTTATTTAACAGTGTCGCAATTCTTTTCGATTTTTTAAAGATTGCTGGTTTCGAACTTAATAATCTTTTAAGAGTGCTTCAACAATCTTTTATCATCATCATATCAAGGATATGATAACTTTAACCAAAAATGACACGGAAGTTAACAGTAACGGAAGTTTAAAATAATGATTTTTTAAACAGATTTTTAATATTTATATCAATAAGAAAGACAAAACAACTGTTAACCCATCTTCTTGTAAGTCTAAAATATCACTATGAATCATTATAGGGCTCCTGTACCTCACCATGTCTCTAACCTGTTAAACAGGTTTTTGTTTTTATCAATGGAAACTGAATGATGGGTTATGATGCTCGACTAAGTAACTTTGATAACATTTAAGGGTATTTAACAATTGTAAAAAATAATAAGTGGTATTAAATCCCAAAAACACGACATTATTACAGGTAAATACCTTTATAAATCAAAGTTCAATTACTGTAACGGAATTGAATACTGTTTTGGCGACATAGAAGTATTAAACCGGTCTGTGGAGTTTTGATTTTGGCCGGCCATTTTCACTCATTATAAGTACATGATAGATCTATTTTAGTTACTCAGAAAAGTTGTTCTTTTCTTAGAAACTCCATTAACTGTTGTTAAGACTTGTTTAAAATATACCACTGTTATTAGCGAAAGGGCAAAAAGGAGTGGAGGACAAAAGCCCCCCCCCCCAGGACGAAAGCCCCCCCCACTTCTAAAATGACAAGGTAGATAAAAGCACCCCCATGAAATTAACACATAGGACAAAAGCCCCCCCCCCATCAAAAATACCCCCCCCCCAGTCCAGCAAACAAAAGCCTCCCTAAGGTTTATAGACCAGACTCATAACTATCTTTTTTCACACGCCCAGTGTTAGGGAACTTGGGATATAATTCAAATAAATCTAGACAAGTATGTGCCTTCCACTTTTATGTCCTTGATAAGCGTTGATAAATGATTCTCTCAAAATATTCATTTACATTTGTACCGTACAATATATAATAAATATAAAAAACATTCATATCATCAATGAATTATATACGAATTACACACTTAATCAAATTAGAACTTTAGTACCTTTAAATTTAAATCTTAATGTAAATTATCTTTTAAAACAATTGCATTTGACTTGTCTCAATATATCAAGTTCTGACGAGATTCTCAATAACACTGTTTCATGGACTGGTGAGGGGCTTTTGTCCTACCTGTATTTTGATGGGGGGCTTTTGTCCTATGTGTAAATTTCATGTGGGCGGATTCAGGCCAGGGCTTCAGGGCTGCAGCCCCCCAGCTCAGCCCAAAGATACGTTTACCAGCTGGGCTGGAATATAATTTTGTCAGTTTCATACTTTATTAACTGCAGTGTACTCCATTATCAAAACATTTATTGTTGTCATCCAGTTGTTAATCTCCAGAAACCCAATCAAACAAACACACAAAATGATCATGACAGTCTACAACAAATAAACATATTTATATTATTAAGATTAAGGCACAATTTAAACAACTGAAATGCCTTAATGAATTATATAATCTATTTATAATTTTCCGTCGGAATAAGAAGGCCTTGCCATCAGCATAGAACCAGTTTGTCCAGGCTATCTGTGGTAAAACCACTTTAAAATTGTTAAGTTGATATCCCTAAAATTTATAATGGACAGTCCCCAGAAAAGAAGCTGGACAAGTCTTTTTATGAAATTTAGCAGGTTAAGGGTGAGATAATGACGTAACAAATAATTAAGTGCTGTTCATAAGGGATTTGTAAATATGAAACAAACTGGCAAATTCTAATATGACACACTTGACTAAAGATGAGAATAAAACAATTGATGTTGTTAACTTTTATATTTTCCTAACATTTGTTTTCGTTATAATTTTAAACAATATAAAACATTTGACAAGTAACAAATATACAAATGATACACCTGACATTTGAATAGTAAATTTGCTTATTAAAACAACTTAAATCGAAAGTATGAACTGGAACATACAATAACTTCATACTTCGTCCCAGGTACCAACAATATCTTTATAGTGACATCTTTAAAAAAAACCATTCCCCTAGTCTGAAAAATGTTTACAATAGATTATTAAGTCATTAAGTGTTAAAAGTATATACGAGTATGAGTAAAAGATAAGTTAGAAAAGACGAGGGTTTTTTTGTGACATTAACACGCCTTTTTTGGACAAATTTATTGTAATACACATTATCAAAAACGTTTTGACATAATTAAAATATCTTTTGACCTAATAATCACATCTTTTGATCTAAATATCATATCTTTTGACCTTATAAACATATCTTTTGATCTAATTAACACATTATTTTCGTGACCTTTATCATATAGGTACTAACAACCAAATCCTTCATTTCGACATAAACTCCCTAGAAACATACCATATTTTCTCTCAAACAATTATTTTTTTAATTTTACATTTATAAATGGAATCGCAATATGAATTACTCATTGATTCAATTTTCTCAAATAATAGCTTGGATTAAAATCGTACTACAGGAAAAAGTGGAGTATGAAATATTATATTATAGGCAAAAGTTTGCCTAATTAGCTCTTTACGGTTACAAAAGAACTTCGGTCATTCAAGTACAAAATAAAAGTTTCAAAAATCTCAACAAAAACCATTTAACTTTGTCTAAAAACATATCATCTTTAAATAAGTTATCATATGAATTGTCATGTAATACAAAATTTTATCAATGAGTTTTTTTAATTTATAAGTTGCTAAAAAGTTAGCCTCTGACAAGGTTTATAACATTTTCTTGGATAACTTTGATAAAATTATTTATGATATAGCAACTAGTGTGAGATTGATGGAAATTAAATAGACGTTTTATCTTTTTATGAATACTTTCTACGCAAATGTTATATTACAAATATCTGTGTACACAAATGACTTAATATGTTGTTGTGCATCTTGGATTTCACTTATAGATTTGAATAGTGTTGTCATATTTTTAGCCCTTGACTCATGGACATTTGTATAAAGGATGGGCAGTGGTGTTGCATGGTTTTATTAAAATGTACAGCCATGTTGAAGATAATTTTTTTGATTTTTTTTAAGTATTAATTTTCATGATTTTATATTTATATTTTACAAACTTTCGTTAATCTATATTTTATAAATATTGAATATAATTAGCATATACTTTCGGACCTAGCCATTCAATGACCGCCAGCGTGTCAATATGCAAAAAGTAGTGACACATTCCAATGTCGTCATCAAAATTTATTCAAAATATTTTTTTTCTTTCACGTTTATAGAACACATTATACGTTTTTTATTATTTTTTTCTTACGCACACAAAGCTTGATATGTACTTAACATAGTTATTACGTCGTGACTTGGATATAAGCAAAATCTTTTTTTTTTAATCATGGACATAAACGATTTTTGAATATTTTCATAAACTATTTTCTTCACAACATGTATTCTAACTTTTGCTTTTAGCATGGTTGCAGCATATGTGCCATTTAAGCTCTAGCTCTCTTTCTTATGAATCACAGAGTATGGAGGGGTAGTGGTTACCTAATAGCTAACATATTTGCCTTTCAACCCCAGAATTGTGGATTCGGCCCAACTCGGGTCATGACTATGTTTCCACATCTTATACCAGTACTGGTTTGTTCCAGGAATCGGACTCTAAATTGATGAATATAAATTTAAAGAACGTGTTTTGCAAACGAGCATAAATAAATATGTTTAACCTTTTACCCCATGAGCATGTTGTGAAAAATGGCCGTTTTCATTGAAAAGCCTCCTGTAACAACTTCGAAACACGCTTATATCATGTATATAAGGGAAAAGGTTAAACTAAATTAAGGGCTCTAAATCATTTTGTTCAAGCAGCAAAAATATATAAAAACCTATTGTGGTCCAAGACGAAACAATGTTCTTGTTTACAGGGATATTGCAGTATGATACTCACGAAATATGTGTTTCGCTTATTTGATTAAGTACTTGTTTACTATACACAAAAAAATATCGATGAAAGATTTGTTGATAAGAACTCTTCACTTTAAAATAATCGGTGAAATATTTCTGAGGATGAGGTAAACAAACTTAGAAAAAGACAAGAAATACGAACATTGGAACGGCTGAAGTAACGCGAGTTTGGAGGCGGGCCTGGCTCTTCTAGGATTGGAACCAACACCATAAAATGAATACTCTTCAGAAAGGAGATTCTGCATTAAACATACCTTAATCTGGACGGGCTAGGACGTGGATTTTATTTTACATCCACGTCCTTACCTCGACTAAGCCCGACCTACCAAGTCCAAGTGCGTCCTTAACA